TCAAATAAATAAGAATTTAATGTTTTGCTGAAATGTGCACATCCCAGATAAAATTTTGCCTTCGCATTATAATAAGAGAAAACTGTTTTCTATTGCATGCCCGGGGTCTCTTTCTGCAATTGATTAAAAGGATAATAACAATTCATTGATGATGATAATAATAATAATAACAATTCATTGATAATATTAATAATAATAATAATACTAATGTGACCATAATGAACACAATAACAAAATTATTTTGGAGTTGGGCTAGCGTATAATCAGGGTTAATCCCTGGTATAACGTACTGATAACGTTAACATCTGGGGGATTTACTTTTCTATGGGATGGTACACCTTCACATATAAGAAGCACAGCAATTTTTTTGTCATTTGTTTAGGCAGATAAAATTTTCTAATATGCGTAAAATACGGTGTGTGCGACATACTTACTAAAAGGTATATTAGAGGAAGGTTGTCTTATTCATTGACCGCGTATCTATTCTGTCATCGGCTTCTTGTTACGTTGTAGGTGGTTTGTTTTCGCAGAGGGAGGGTCTATGTGCAGTCAGTCCGATACAAGCACCGAGCGCTGGCCAGTGCGAGCCTGCGCCGTGGCCTAACGAAGCCAATACACCGAGATGCTGATGCTTCCGTCCTGCGTTCAGCGACGCGACGGCTTCTCTCCCCAGAGCCCTGTCGCCACGGACTTCCATACCAACACTGCTCACGAGCGCCAGCAATCTTCGGATTGTTTTCGTCGGGGAGACGAGAGGAGATATTCGCTCCGTACATGATAGATGTAGCGTCGTGAATGAGAACAGGTTGACTATCAGACCTGCTGTCACACGCGCGTCAACTAGTACGCAGGTCCGTTCGCAGAAGCTTACGGTGAGGACATGAAGCCCGAGGCTGACAGCTGCTATGGGATCGCTGAGGGAACGTCGGAGGGGAGAAGTCAGCTTGCCCAAGGCTTGTTTCTTCAATCGGTTGCCTTGCGCTGCAAGAGAAGCCATTCATGCAGCCGCACCTAACGACGCTGACAACAAACTCATTCATTTCCAGTAGACGATGACACCCAATGGAGTTCACTTTATGCAGAGAGATATCAAGACTCTAGGTTAGACCTGGAGCAGGCATTGAGGTACCTAACCCATCAACAAGCAGTGTGGCAACAAAGACAAGGCATTCTATGATCCCAACATGAACCCAGCAGATGAATTTGACATTGGAACTAACTACTTGCTTAGCGAGAAGCATACGGGTCTGAATACTGCATTAAATTCGGCCCGCGGGCCGCGGGGGTGGGCCCCGGCTTACTGTTGATCAAAACTCAAGCCCTACACCGTCGTAATTAAATCCTCATCTTTAAGCCTTCCAGTGGAGGATCGAAAGAAACCAAAAGACGGAAAGTGACTTGCCAAGTCGTGTTATTCAACGCTGCGGTCAGGCAGGCCACCTTATGCAGCTAGTTGCTGATGACGAGAATAAAAACCAACGATGTTCCAGACGATGATCCCAATGGAGATTACGCTTTGGCGGAGGAATCGGTCGCTCGCTAGACCTGAATAGGCCACGGGGGATGCCAGTGACCTCAACGAAGCAATGCTGGCAACAAGACTAGGATTTATGATCCTAACAAACGCAGCAGAGGTGAAATTTGACATGGACTTACTGACTTGGCATACTTTTTGTCAAATGAGTAACATGTAGAAGTGCAGCGGACTAAAGCAATGGCATTAAATTCAGCTCTGCGTAGGTGATCAAATACACCTTACTACCCTAAATATAAACAATCCTTATTGAACCCTTGCGCAATCAGCTGCTAGCGTACTTCAGATAGGTAAAGTAAATACAAATTAATTGTTTCTTCAGCAGTTGCGCTCTAGAAAGCAGCCTGTACCTTTACAACTGACGGTGTGCACAAAAGTGTCGATTTTGGTCATCCCAACAATAAACCGGCCCACAGCTGGATCTCAGCTGCAGTGAATCTCTGTATCTAGAAACAGATGTTTTATCTGCTGCTGCCAAACTACTGGACCAATATTGCATGTGGATACAGCAATGATCACGAGCCACCTTACGAGAACGCATCCAAAGATCACGATAACAATAACAGAACTCGGTTCCATGACAATGACTTCATGGAATTGACTGTGTGTAGAGGAAATCAATTCTCTGGTGAAGCCAGTTGCAAGCATGGAGATCCTAAGCCATCAGCAGTCAGTGTTGGAAACGGACGAGGGTGTATTGATCCTAACAAACCCAGCAGCGGTGAATTTGACATGGAACTCACTACTTGCTTGCCACAGCAGACTTCACAAAGTCTACAGGATGGCGTCAATGTTGTCGTAGGTGATCCTCCTGGTCTTCCTCAGAAAATCAGCATGTGTTTTCACCTACCAACGATGACAACAAGACCGTTCGTTTCCATGAGATGACAAACTGGAGTTGACGTGTGCGCAGAGGGAATCAGTCTCTGGTCCTAAACCTGAAGCAAGCATTGAGATCGCCTAAACATCAACAGTCAGTGTTGCACAGGACGAGGGTGTATGACCCTAACAGAACCCAGCAAGGTGAATTTGACATGGCAACTCGACATACTTGCCTTTACCTCAGCAAACATCAAGAAAGGTCGTACAGCTGAACCACATATTGCTTGCAGGTAATTCTCTGTGATGCGGCCAACATATTCCTCTAATGAAGACGTCAGCATTCACCTGGTGCCAACAATGTTGCAGGGAATTTAGGAACAACACCAACCTAACAACAGCAGTTGCAGTTGCAATGAATTCCATGAACTCACTAACAAAGATGACAACAAGACCATTCGCTTTCCAATGGTGATGAACTCATGGAATTGACTGCCATGCAGAGGAATCAGTCTCTGTATACCTGGAGCTAGCCAACACAAATCTGAGATCGCCTAAGCCATCAACAGGCAGTGTTGGCAACAAAACAACGGATGTATGACCCAAGAAACCCGACAGGGTGAGATTTTACATGGAACCAGCATACTTGCTTGCCACAACAGACTTCACCAAGTCCTACAGGATAGCATCAAATGTTGTCGTTAGCGTAATCCCTATTCTTCTTCAGATAAAATCCAGCTGTGTTTCTCACCTACCAACGATGACAACAAGACCATTTCATTTCATGACGATGACAAACTGGAGTCTGACTTTGTGTGCAGAGGGAATCAGCTCTCTGGCTAAAACCTGAAGCAAGCATTGAGATCTCTAAACCATCAACAGGGCAGTGTTGGCAACAAAACAAGGATGTATGATCCCAACAGAACCCAGCAGGATGAATTTGACATGGAACTCACTACTTGCTTGCCACAACAGACTTCACAAAGTCTACAGGATAGCATCAATGTTGTCGTAGGTAATCCCCCTGATTCTTCCTTAGAAAATCCAGCTGTGTTTTCACGTACCAACGATGACAACAAGACCATACATTTCCATGACGATGACAAATGGAGTTGACGTGTGTGCAGAGGGATCAGTCTCTAGCTAAACCTGGAGCAAGCATTGAGATACCTAAGCCACCAACAGCAGTGTTGAAACAGGACGAGGGTGTATGATCCCAACAGAACCCAGCAGGGTGAATTTGACATGGAACTCACTACTTGCTTGCCACAGCAGACTTCACAAAGTCTACAGGCTGGCGTCAATGTTGTCGTAGGTGATCCTGATTCTTCCTCAGAAAATCCAGCTGTGTTTTCACCTACCAACGATGACAACAAGACCATTCGTTTCCATGACGATGACAAACTGGAGTTGACTGTGTGCAGAGGGAATCAGTCTCTGGCTAAACCTGGAGCAAGCATTGAGATCTAACCATCAACAGTCAGTGTTGGAACAGGACGAGGGTGTATGACCTAACAGAACCAGCAGGTGAATTTGACATGGAACTCACTACTTGCTTACCATCAGCAACTTTCAGAAAGTCTACAGGCTGGCGTCAATGTGTCGTAGGTGATCCTATTCTTCCTCAGAAAATCCAGCTGTGTTTTCACGTACCAACGATGACAACAAGACCATACATTTCCATGACGATGACAAAATGGAGTTGACTGTGTGCAGAGGGAATCAGTCTCTGGCTAAACCTGGAGCAAGCATTGAGAATACCTAAAAAAAAAGTTTTTAGTGACAATATAGTGTATATACGCTAAAAACTTTTTTCACATTTTCTGCTGAAATGGGTGTGTAACATGTGTTTTGCAGGTGTTGCATGACCAGGCAGGTGTTGCAGGTGTGCAGGTAGTGCAAACATGTGCAAAACACATGTTACAGGTGTGTATTGTACTCCTGTGCATCTTGTATGCCATAACATACGGTATCCACCAATATATCATGCCAATGATCATCGACTCACGTTTTATAGCTTTCAAACAGACTGTTCTCTGTGTGTAGCTTATCACTGGCTGATAGCTGTGACAGGGATTCTTGACTCGGCTGTTCTGCCCGTGGAACTGCAAGATGTAGTTTCAGTTACGAAAATCAATTTTATTAGTAGGAGTACGATTTAGAAATTCATGGCATATCCTATACATTAATAGACATCACGTTGATCTGGGTTGTCAGTCTAGCTACATGTATACCATCTCTTGTTTCGGTGTAGAACAGAAGAAATATCAAAAACCCCTATATCAAATTAACATGTTTTATATATCACTTGTCGTCTTTGTGCCGAGTATGTGGACATTTCAAATTACCCTTTTAAAGGTCATTTGAAATGTCCACATACTCAGCGCAAAGACACATGTATGTATATTAACCAAGCACTTACCAACTTCATCACGCAGCCCTGTCCACACAATCCCCTCATCACTTTTAATGAACTCCCTAAGGAAATAAATGCCATCATTATATTATATTATTAACACAAAAAGCACAAATCATTTAATAATTAAATAATAGTAATATACATACTTCAGATGCTCTTATTAGCATGTATACCTATGAACTAACAAGTTTCAAGTTTAAATTTACGAGTTTACAAGCCATAAAAACCAAAAATATGCCAAAAGATTTAACATGGTTAGGTGTACACCCAATTTTCAAACGTAATTTACACATTACATTTGAACATGACGTATGTAGCAACCACTCAGGAGAAATGGCAAGTGGCTTTCATGGAGAGCCAGGAGAGGTCACCATCTACAGAGGCAATTTTACTGTATAACAGCTAATCAAAGGAAATGCAAGTAACCTCTACAGACAAGAGAGGCCTCTAATAGGGGTGGCCTCTAATATGGGGTTGACCACAGGCACTTGGGACAGAGTCAGTAAAAACTGAAAATAATATGAACGCACATACACAAATACTACCGTACCTCTCAATTCCAGTTCCACTGTTGTGTCACTGTATATCAACTTTCCTTCATAAAAACTAATGCCGAACGCTCCCGCACTCGCCGCTGCGAGTGTGCTGTGGCGCCATGATAATATATATATAAAGAGCTTAAATATATATATATTATCATGGCGCCACAGCACACTCGCAGCGGCGAGTGCCGCTGCGGAATCGTTCGGCGTTAGTTTATATGAAGGAAAGTTGATATACAGTGACACAACAGTGGAACTGTGAGAGGTACACCGTACCGTAGTATTTGTGAATGTGCGTTCATATTATTTTCAGTTTTTACTGACTCTGTCCCAAGTGCATTAAATTCAATTGTAACCAAAACTCTTTGAAATGGATGAAAACATCATATAGAATGGGAAGTATTTCTATTACATGGCAGTAATCCACTACTTACTTGACAGTTCTTGTATCTGAAAAGCTTACACGCCGCGCCCGACTATTCACATCCAAGTCAGTGAGAGCACTCCTGGTTGGAGATTTTCCACCTGCTAACTTTAATATCTGTGAATAATTTAATTCAATGAACGATCACACGAGGAAAACACACGACATCCATTTTCAGAACAGATAATCTTCCAAGAGATAATGTAAGAGTATAATGTATGTTTATTCAGGGTTCTCTAAAGGAATTTCAGAGAGCAGGTCGGGTAATCTGGCAATGCACACCACCATCACCAAATGAAGTCAATTCCGTGTTTTGTAAGCGACCCAATACATAAGTAACTCGATCCCTTCAGAGAAGTAAGCTGTGAAAGCAACATGATCGACAATGATATTGCCAAAGTAAACACAGCTAGAATTGAAGGCATATCGATTAACATTTGGTGGATATATATATATATATATATATATACGGGTAGCAAAGTAGCTTCTGCTTTGAACTTGAAGGTATGTTGGACCCGACATGCGTTAAAGGCCTGGAGCCCGTTGTCAGAAACAAAATTAGTCTTAACATTAGTCTTAACAATAACATTTTCTCGTAGACCGTCGACAGCGCTTTGTTTCGTATTGTTATCAGGAAATCTGCTGCGATTTTTCATTCAGGTAACTTCGCAGCGTTTCTGTCGACGGTCTAAGAGAAAAAGTTAATGTTAAGACTAATGTTAAGACCAATTTTGTTTCTGACAACGGGCCCCTGGGGAGAAGCTTGTCAATATATAATACCCTGGGACAATGGGTTCAAACAGCTTTGCCCAGGGTCATATAAGTTGTGGTGCCTTGAAGTGATTAATTTGACATTAAAAAGCCATAATCAATCCAGGAACATTACTGACCATTATTCTCGCTCTAAAACGGTTTTTTTATTATTATTACTTAAGGGAGGGATTATATGATAATACCACAAAGATTATATATACTCAAGCAAAGAGACTTACAGATGATCTCCTTGAAGATATTTTCCTTCTTCTCATGTCCCTATATCAACATAAACACAATGTTTTGATAATTAGATGCAAATGACAAATCACGAGGATCGAAGAATCCTCTACAGGTACATTACTTGCCCCATTTCCTTCTACTACTAGTATTGCTCCACGATATCCTTTGTTTTACCTCTGCCTTACGTTTGTCTTACAGGTATCATGTACTGTGAAAAACCCACCAGGGGATCCATTTTTGGAGTTTTTTTTTTCTTTTTTCAGTTTTTCTCGCATATTTTGCCCTCGCTAGTAATGACAATAGTGATAAAAAAATTAAATCAATGCTATTTCTGGCGCGAGATTATAACCATGGCACGGGCACTGCCACTGCCGCGGCCACTGCAGCTGATACTGATAGGGTCTATGTCCCCCAGGACCCGGTTCCACAGTCGTGGATTAACTTTAACCCTGAGTTAAGACTAACTCTGAGTTAAACTCACTAACTCTGAGTTAGTAAACTCCGAGTTAAATTTGGGTTTCATAAACATGGATTAAATCAGGAGTAGATAATCTACCTATTATCTACTCCTGATTT